TAGCGCAATCTCAACGCCAGCAACACCGCGAGCTTCGGATGCCGAATCGCTTGACATACGGCGAGTGAAGTTGAGGATGACACACGGAGAGTGAAGCTTGAGGATGAGGCCGGATCTGGAGAACGGAGGGAGATGACTGGTGGCTGGATCTGGAGAACGGAGGGAGGTGACTGAAGTAGGATCTTGTATGCGTGTTTCGGATGACAGCATATATCTGAATGGAAGGTTTCAAGGGTTCTAGCTAAGGCGGCTTGTTGACCGATCTGGTAGAGTGTGCGGACATTGAGTGCGGTTAAGTGAAAAGGGGATTTTGGTTTCACAAATCTGGCAGTCTCTGAGTGGTTGACCTTATTAGTTGAACGCTGAGTGATATGCGATGGGTCTCGTAAGCAGGAGGCACCTGGGAATATTCGGGATTGAAGAGAAGGACTAGACAGATGGGAAAGATGGTTTTCCAAATGGGTACCCAAGACTTTAGGGCACGGCATACTTCGCGGCAGCCCACACCGACGAAGGGGTTTTCCTTTGGGAACCCTAACCAGAGCCTTTGGCTAAACAAAGCCTGATCCGCAAGGCAGGGTCGGTGTGTGAAAACCGTAATCCATTGGGAGCCGGTGTCCAGTTCATCGGCTCATACGCCCTTCGGACGGGGTCAAACGTTCAAGGTGCCCAAGACACCTCATACCAAATTGAGCCGGTGACCACCGCCACAACCGGGAGTGTGTGTGTGGTTCGTACACCTCTTGGTTTGGAATCAGGGTTTTTGGCCAACTTTCCTAGGTGAACTACCAGTGGTCCACTAACCTGGTTATAGCCCCGGATATCGGCTTTTCGTCCTCTCACTTTGGTGGGAAAACACCTATGCCACGAGAAGGCAGTGAGTAGGACTTCCTCAGCAGAGGCTATTTGAGACGCTTGGTTGTATGGGAGCATTTCGCGAGGTGCAAGGCAACGGTGACCAGCCGCAACCCTAGACACCCAATCCTGATCATACTGAGGCTTTCGGAGGACAATAGATTCCCCAACTGCTTCCTCAGATGTACAATTTCTGCCAGTTGTTACCAGTTCTAGCATAAAGACCACTCGAAAAGTAATTTATCTCGATCATGTTGATCGCGTTCAG